GGAGTCCAGGAGGAGCCCGAGACAGGACGGCCATCTTGACAATGCAAAAGGAACGTTGGTGTCTTTAAAAAGTGCATGAGGAGCAAGGGGTGGACCTTCATCACATAAAACAGAGGCAGCTAAGGGGCTGTGTACAGGTTTACAGAGACAGGACATGGCAAAATACAGGCCCAGTCCCCTGCCTTCCTCTGATAGGAAGAGTGTTTCACTCACTCCTTGAAAAAGTAGCCTATGAAGTTAATTGATCTCAAAAAAAAAAAAAAGACTAAAGAGATGTCACCAAAGCCCTTGTCCTCCAACAGCATAGCTGGCCCCACTGACCTAAAGACACCCTTCCAGCTGGGAGGCAAGGGAATAAGGCTGCTGAGGTTCTTGGGGACCCAGGGTTTATGAATGCCAGCAACTACTGCCCATGGGCCCAGTGAATAGAGGGTGGCTCTAACTGCCCTGGGGAGAACCCGGAGCTGGGTTCACAGCTGCTTACCCAGTGATGAACAATATCTTTGCCTGCCACACACCAAGGGCAGATCAGGATTCTCCCAGGAACTGGTCCGAGAGGTTACATGAGATTCTACCTCCATCCCCCTATTTTCTCATTCTCTCTGAAGATGAGAAGCTTGGCAGCCATGTTGAGTTCTTGACATTGACTGGCAGGGAGCTCCTCCAATCCTTTGGTTTGCTCAGAGACTGACATTCACCCACTGTTGTCTGTGGTTACTGCTTGCAGCTAACAGCCCCGCCTCACAGTTCAGCCCCTCTCCCCAAGGTTTCTCCTTGCCCAGGATAGTCATAATTCACACACACACACACACACACACACACACACACACACACACACACCTGGGTACTTGCTGCATCAACCCAGCCCTGAGAGACATCTCCTCCTAATCTTAAAAATGAGGAATCTGAGTCCTTCCTGCTAAGATGTGGAGGAGGCACATGATCCAAGCCTGCTGACTCCTGATCCGGGGCTCTGCCTGTGTGCGCATGCTTCCTCACAAGCCTGGCTGCTTTTAGTCGACGCATATTTATGGAACGCTTACTGAGTGTGAGCCCCTGTTCTAAGCTTCAGGAAAATAAGAGTGAATTAAACAGCCATGGTCACTGACCTCAGAGAGCCTATGATATTAAAAGTGAAACAAATGAAGTGAACAGGTTAATTCCTTGTGGCACACTGCCTGGGGGCAGCACCATTGCAGACGTGTACGATCTTGGAGAACTATCCAGAGAAAGAGAACTTGCAGGAGTTAGGTGGAAATCGGCCAGGTGAAAGATTCTAAGGTGAGAGAGAGAATGTGACACTTGGTGGAACTGAAAGTGATTCCAGACCACTTGGAAAGGTGGAGGGGGGCAGGGTGGTGAGAGAAGAGCTGGGGAGGGCAGCAGGAGCCAGAGCACAAAGATGAAGAGTCTACTTCACCCCGTCAAGGAATGTGGACTATGTCCTGAGGAGTCTGAAGCAGGAAGGAACAGGACCAGGCATTTGCACTTGAGGATCACAGGCTCAGGTGTGGGGACTAGTGTGCAGGAGGGGAGGTGAATCCAGCGGGAGGATGGAGCTGTGGTCGAAGAAATCTGGGAGCCAGATGACCACTCTCTGCTTTAAGGCAAATGAAGCAAGAAGAAGCCAAGTAGAGTGCTCTGGGAAGGTGTTGAGGATGCAGAATGTCTCAGACTCCAAGACTCAGCAAAGGGGCTCATGGGAGACAGGGCAAAGGAAGGCATGCAGGTCACCAGCATGAGCTGTGTTTGAGGAGGAACGGGGAGGTGGGCAGAGGAGGAGACCACTTCTTCTGGGATACAGTGAATCTAGTCGTCTGCAGGGCACCCAACAGACAGTGTCTGCATGGCTCCGGAACTAAGGTAGGGTTGAGATGGAAAATCGGGAGATAACAACGGAGAGCAAAGACACTGGCCTGGATGGGGTGCCTGCGGAGAGCCAGAAAAGCAAGAAGGGGGCTTCAACCAAATCCTGAGGATTACCATGTTCAAGAACAGGCGGGAAAGTCTGCCATAAAAGAAAGAGAGAAGGAGAGGACAGGAGGACCAACACCAGGAAACCAGTGACAGTGCTTCCCCAGTGTCACAGGATGTCTCCAGGCACAGGACAGAAGCACTGAGGGGATGTCACAGGAAGCCAGCCTTGTGAAGAGCGGCCAGGGCACTGCATGACCAGATCTCCCTTCCCAGACCCGCCCGTGCCCGGCCCCTTTCTGTGCCAGTGAATGCGGTATCCTGCCGGCTCTGTACTGTACCACACTCAGTGACGCTGTCCCCGCCCCAGAGTCACCATGCAGCTAGCAGCACCCTGAAAGGACTGCTTTGCCACCAGTCGTAAGGAAGCCTGAGGTGAGGCTCCTCAGTGTCCTGGCTGAGGCATGGAGCCTTCTCCTGCCCCTTCCCCAGAAGCCCTTCCAGACACAGGCCACACCTCATCAGGGAGCTCCGCTTAGGGTCCTGTGCCCCTGGAAAGTCGGCCACTCACTTCTCTGCCCCCTGAACCAGCTCATCCTTGGGGATGGGCCTCTTTTAAAAGGTCAGGAGTCAGGAAGCCCCCGCCCCTGGCAATGGCCAGGTGGGCAGGACTTCACCCAGGAGCAGTGGCGGGGAGCAGGGAATGACTGGAGACTTGGGCTGGCTGGGGAGGTGAGGAGACGGGGGCAGGCTGGGCAGAGTGTGGCCCCGACGCTGGGTTCCCACTGCTTTCTCAGCCTCCCGCCTTCCTCCTCATCTCTCCCTCCTCTCTCTCTGATTGGGCCCCTCAGAGTTTGTCTTGTCCAGGATTATGTGGGCGGGGGTGGCCTGGAGTGGTGACAACTGGCAAAGTGAAGGGAGAATGGTCCCAAGAAGACAGGGCCACCCTCAGACCCCAGCTCTCCAGTGGAAAAGCCCCTCCACCCCAGGCCACAGGGCTTCCCTGGGCCACTGCACAGTGGAGATGGCCCTTTCTGCTCCGAGTGTCCTCCCTTGTATAGACTCACACTGGCTCCTCCAGCATTGTGCGATGATCAGATCCCACTAAATCCTAGGTACTGAGGATGGACACAGCCATGATCAGTCCCAGTCCCTCCCTTAGCAGAACTCACAGTAGGAAGCCAGTCCTCATCTCTGTGACGTGGACAAATTACCCTTTCCCAGTAGCAGAGACCCATGTGAGCCCACAGAGCCCAGAACAGCAAGCAGCAGCACTTCTTGCTGCCGGTGTGTTGGACCCAGCCAGCTCTGACTCGACTGAACTTCCCTCTGGAAGGGGACAAGGCCCTAACTGAGGAGAAGACCTCCATAACCTCCACTGAGCCTGAACTGAACGGCCTCAGTAAGGCAGCCGGGAAGGGTCCCTAGACCCCCAGCACTAAGAGAAAATGCAGTCCCCTTCCCTGGACACTTCCTTCCTGCAGCCCAGCCCAAGCAGATAGATCTGGAAAGATGGCGATGACGTCATTTGCACTGCTTCCCCGCTCTGCACAGAGCAGAGGGCCTTCGCTCCTGTGTTCCCTGCTGGGATGCCTCTCCCACTGCCTCTGACAGGGTCCTACACAGCTCCGTGTTCATGGATGAGACAATGATGAGGAGAGCTGGGATTCAGTGGGATCCAGAAAGATCTGGGAGGGTGGGAAGAGGATGGGGAGGCAGAGATGATCGAAATAAAATTGCATAAGGTATGTGAGGGCTCGTCCTACTCTTCTATTTTGTTTATATTTGGAAATTTTCAGACTAAAACGTTTCCTGAAAACTCCTAGGCAGCCGCAAAACCCCGGTTAATCCCACCTTGTGCACAAAGCTCTCCTACTTCCTGGCCCCACTCAGGGAAAGGCCCTTTCCTAATCCAACTCTAATGGCATCACTGTGGTTACCCAAGATGGCACAGCGATTTACTCTTACCACATAATGTGGATGTTGTTTCATAGGTTTTCAGTTACCTCCTTAACTTCATGGCAGAAAGGAAAGGAAGGGAAGGCAACCAACATTTCATCAGGTCCACTCTGTGTAGAGAACTGAACTACCTGCTTCTCCTAGAGGCCAGGTCCTTCCTGAGCGCACCGGTGGGTTTGTTGTAGGTAGCTCATGAATTGATGCTAGAAAATGTAGAGGCCTCTTTGATTCAACACCAGCACGACCATCTCATGAACTAGTATGCATTCATCAAAAATCAGAGTTTCTAATGCCGTAGGGAAGGACTTAAAATGCTAAGTGAAACAAAATAAATCAGGGCACAAAATCCTATGTATAGTATGAGCTCACTTTATAGAAACTTGCTGGGGAAAAAAAAAAACCTAGATGTGTATGTCTATGAAAATGTGCTTATCTCTGTGTAGGGAACTATTTGAATTTTTTTCTTCAATTATATTTTCAAACTCTGGTTCAATAATCACACTATTTTCAAATTTTTTTATTTTTTTATTTTCAAATAGTAACTATTTTCAGTTTTGTAGGCCATGCGGTCCCTGTCCCAGCTACTCAGCTCAGCTGTGGTGGCACAAAAGCAGCCGTGGACAGTATAGAAATGAGTAGGTGTGGCTGTGCTCCAAGAAAACCTTATTTACAGAGCCAGGCATCAGGCTAGATTTGTCTCATGAACAGTTATAGTTTGCTGATCTATGATTTATTACTTTATAATCAGGAAAAAAACTATTTAAGTATGTATTTTTTTGGCTCTAAGATCTTGGTACCATGATTGATAGATCACAGCACAGAAACCTTACTGCATGCTTTATTCTGGTACCCTTGCAGCATAAAACAAAAGAAAATCAAAACCATAAATTAAAGAAGATGAGAATGAAAATTCTAGGCTGGAAAGACTAAAACTCCATGGTATCTATAATAATACAAACTTTATCTCTATTTTTAAGCCTAATATATTTCACTTTCTTTAGATTTTTCCTTTATGTCTTTTAATAAAGTTTTATAATAGTCTACAGATGTCTCAGAAATCTATTCTTTTTCAAACATAATGTAGGATGAACAGAAAAAGTAAATTTTTCTCTTTTTTCCCCCTCTAGGTTTTCTGAAGCAAAGGCCTTGGGAGAAAGTATAAATGAAGCAAGAAGTAAGATTGGTAAGCAGATGATACTGTGCGAGCCTCTTTGACAGATGGTGGCAGTCAGACCATGGTGTGCCTCCGAGTAGCCACGACATCTAGTTTAGGAGAGGCCCTGCCAAGGAAGCCGCTTTCAGGGGCTCTTCCTGGGGGGTCTGCTGTCCCTCCACCACCCATCAGGAATGCACTTCCTTTTATCTGAACTTGAACTCCTCATCCTCATGCAGGCCTGAGTTCTAGCACACCAATGAGAAAGTCCCGCCTTTCCCTGCTGTTCTGACAGTGGCTCAACTTGTCATTACTGTATGATGATAGCGATGCTATTTCTTATTTCCAAGTGCTCTGCACACCTTTACACCTGCCAAACCTCAGGCTTAGCCTTTGGGGCCCAGGTATGCATTTTTCAGCACCACTCATAAAGCCGTGGGAGGAAGAGAAGCAAAAATAAACCCGTGTGTCTGCCTGGGACACAAGCAGCCGAGCAGGGCTCCCCCACTTAGGAGAGCATGTCTGGAAAGGAGTCGTTAAGGCAAGTGGCAAACTTGATGCCTGAGGGCCTCAAATCCTGTTCAAAGTGAGAGGAAGAGGTTTCCCGTATCCTAAGCTACAAGACTCGACAGACTTGAGGCATTTTCCAGACTTGAGGCAGCTTCACAGAGGAAATCTCTCTGCCTTCACCTCTGCTCAGGAAAGCAGGAGTTACCTGTGTGCAGCTGACCCCCCAGTTCCCACCCCACCCCATCTTCCTCTCTCCACAGGGGCAGGACAGAAGCTACTGTAAGTGTCCCCTCGACTTGCCCTGCAGAATGTAGGAAATCATGATAGCCTCAGCTGATCTAAGTCTGGGAACAGAGCCCCGTGTTTCCGTCTGTGATAAAGGCAGAACGGTGCGGCTGCCGGGCCCCGAGTCACAGAGAATCTTTGCATTTCAGGGGTTGTTAACCTAAAGTTCAGAATTATGGATGGTGACACATGCCCCTGGATTTTCACGAACCTGAAGCTGAAATTTAGCACTGCCTTCAGTGATGATTGTAGACAGCAGACCCCAACAGAAAAGGCAGCACCTGCCATCAGTAGAAATCACAGTAATTTCATTTCACAATGAGGCAGTCTTTGTAAAACATCTTTTCTGCTCATCGGTACTTCAAAATTGCAGTGGTCACTAGACTTACCATTAGATCTTGTTATTTAATCCATTTAGATGAAAGTACATAGGTATTTCTATATCAGAAAGTTTCAAAATTTTGTAAATTATTTCATTATAATTGGTTTCTCCTATAAGAGTATGTATTTTATTCACCTAAAATCATTATTCAGAGAAAGAGTCAATACCTTCTTCAGACTATTAGAATATTTCTGGCACACACACACACAAAAAAAAAAAAATTGCAAACCTGTTTCTTGACCTGATTCCCCAACTCCCTAAAACTGCATGTAAAAACTGAGGCTTCAAGATACGTGTGTTTTTTCTGGAGATAATATCTAGAGCTTATCCAGCTCCCAAAGAGGTCAGTGACCCAAACCTATAAGGAAAATGATACTAAGCTATTGCACCCTCTGCTTCAGGCAGGAAAGCAGAGACCCTGGGGAGGGGCAGCCCAGTCCTGGAAAGCAGGGTAGGGGCGTTCTAGCTGACATGGCTTCCTGGAAGGGAGAGGAGGCAGGGAGGAAAAGGGAAGCAGATTTCGGTGGATCCAGGCCCATCTGTCAACATGGTGTGACCCCAAGTTCTCTATAATTTCGGTGTAGAAATATGTGTTGATGGATCTAGTTTGCATATTATCAAAGTTAGGCAGGTCAGAGGGTGCCCTACTTCTATGCAAGTTGTGCTCAGAAAATAACAAATAGAGCTCACACCAATATTGAGACTCAAGCTTCCATTGCTAACAGAGAATTGGCTGGTCCAGAGGTGTTAGTAAAACCAATGGCACTCCCACTTCATCTTATGCAAATTGCAAACTAAGCCCCACCTCCTGGCCACCGCCTTTCAAATTGGGTTCTTAATCCAAGAAATCCCAGGAGGGTTGCAGTACTTGACCACAAGGAGAAGCCACCATCATAGTGTCGCAGACATCAGGTCAAGATTAAGGGAGTATGGGTGAAATGGGTACACATATTTAAAATTTCCAAGACAAACTTGAAGGAAAATGTTTTTTAGGAAATTTATTATGTGATTGCAGTTTTCCTAGGGAAAAAAATAAGTCAAGTGGAGTCTGCCATCCCCAAGGAGTGCCTTAGTGAATCCAGGAGGCAGGATCACAGCACAGATGTACCATGACATGGGATGGTGACTCAGCACCGCTCCCAACTGGGCCACATCCTGCCTCTGGGCCCCGAGGCGGGCTTGGAATGCCAGGAAGTGCATTTGTAATTGGCGCACGGACAGGGAACCAAATCTGTGCTGTGTTCTATGGATTGGCCAACCCATGTGTTTAGAGATTCAGAGGCCACTGTCTCCACGGCAACTTGCTTTTTCTGATATTGTGACCTAGAATTGCCTCTTGAGTTTCATTCTCAAAAACCCCTAAAGGCTTCCGATTCAGTAGTGACCACATAACATCCCACTTTTACAAGGGTCAGTCCATATTACGCCTTTCCTTTTTAGAAGCCAACCCAACTAGGTAGGTAAACTGTTACCATCAATCCTGAGATGGAAACAAGTTGAAATAGAAATGGAAGAAATAACCAATTTAGATTCTCCCTGAAAAATAACAGGGTCTCTGTTTGTATAGGAGAGCCATTGTCCTTGTCTTTACCTGTCCCATTTAGAAGGGCATTCTGCCGCTCTTCATCACACCATCCATGCTGTGAGCGCGTTCATACACACTCTACCTCCCATCGCTGCATGTTCCAAAATGCAGTGAGGCCAACCATGGGCCAAGAAGCCACCTGTGTAGAGGCGGTGGCATCGGGCTGGCATTTTCTGACTGCAGGATCCTGGCACTCGCCTTTCCAGTGTCCCACCACTGGCTGCATTGTCTTTGGCATCAAAGGACAATGAACAGGCTGTTCCTTGGTGTGAGGCCCACTCCTAAAGCAGGCCAGGGCCAGGTGCTTTGGAGGCGGGTGAAAGAGTTTGACTGACACCCCTGGCACCTCTTCCTCCCCCCAGGCCCTCCTAGATGAGAATGACCACTGCAGAAGGCCGCCCAGGAGGCTTTCACTAGTGAGCTGCTCGGTAATCCATTCAAAAATCGTAGGCAGTGTACTAGAAGAAGCTGTTAGTGAAAGGTGAGATTTAAAAAAAAAAAAAAAACACTTGAACACACTCGCAAAATGTTCTGGCAATTTTCTTTACTTCCTAATTCACAGAAGGACTCCAACCCACGATTTGAACAATACTCTTTTAAATGTTTCCAGCGTACATTTGGGACTCAGGAAAACATTTCTCAGATTTATCAGCAGGATAAAAAGGACTATTTTCCTCTTTTTCAGTTCTCTGCCTGTTCTGCATTCAGTTTTTGCTGGAGGTTTACTGCTTCTGGTATCTTTTCCTAGAAAAAAAAGATAATCTCCATTTCACTTTGCTAGATTATGATGACCTGACCCTTTTGTTTCTATTGTTGCCAGCTTCAAATAACAAGGACAGCAAGGACAATAGCAGCCTCCACCATTTATGGAGCCCTTACTCCATGGCAGGCTGAGAACTTGACCTACATTATCTCATTTAATCCTCACAGGGAAGACATGACCTTTAAGGTGGGTACTAGTTGCACATTCCAAATCCAAAAATTCAAAATCAAAAATTCTCTGAAATCTGAAATTGTTTGAGAGCCACATGGTGGATTTTGAATCTTCAGACTTGGGATGCTCAACCAGTAAAGTCTATGGAAATATTCCAAACCTGAAAATGCATTATCATACGTCCTAGATTCTAACACACATAATTTTTACACTCTTTATACCTGTGATATGAGAATACGCTTAGTCATCCCATTTGGTTATTTTTTTCACATTAGAAAACCTCTGTAATAGGTCTTAAGGTAGATGTAGTCTCAGAATCTATGAAATAATGGTATTTTCATTATTTTACAGAATTTTCAAAAAATGGAGTTCAGTGAAATTAGAATTAATATCCACTTCTGTCCAAACCCAAAACTTTTAAGCCCCATATGCTATCTCCACAAGTTCCAGTTTACCTAACATTTATGTTTTTTGCTAAGTTTAAATTTTCCCTAAGCTATTACTCAGTTTTCCTGAATCTTTGGCCTTTATCATCATACATAATATGCCCAGCGAGAGGCTCAACCTAGACCCTGGTTCAGGGGCTACAGGCGTAATCCAAGAAAATTAATAAGACTCTTTGTGACATGATATAGAAGGAGGCCCAGGTTGTGGGAGCAGATGGGCCTGCTCTTGTTCACACCTGCCCAGAGGAAGGAACTCCTAGTTTTTCTAGTTTGCATTAAGGTTGCTGTGGACATGCAGCATCTCTGGTAGGATTCAGTGTCCATATGGGTTTCAGATATCGCTTTTTTATCATTTGGAGAACAGCAGTGAAGGTGTGTCTTCAGGTTCCTTACGGTTCCAACTGGATGGGTTCACAGATGCTTCAGAAAATGCAAAAGAATTCAAAGTGTGAACTTAGATGAGGTTTAGTAAAATTAGATGTAACCAAGTATTTATGCTTAAGTACCGTAACCGGCACAAATAAAGTCTAGAGAAAGCCTGATTAAGGGTAGGCATAGATGTCATCAGAGACCAAGAGATAAAAGTGTATTACTATAAAGTAAAAAAAAAAAAAAATTAAATAATAATAATATCTCAAAAGTAAGAAATGCGCAAGCCAAACTTCTCCCTTCTGTGCCCAGCAATTCCAGGCACACACTGCACGCGTTTCCTAGGTAACTGCTGAGGGCCATTGCCAAGTAGGAATGACGCATCGAAATTTCCTTGCCAAGCTACCCCATGCTGCTTAGAGGACATTCGATGGGACATTGCATGCATGCTTTAATAAGGTGACCTTGCTCAAGGACCAAGGCGGATCCGGGTTTAGAGCTGATCAGGTTTGAGGAAGTAACCGGCTCCTTGAGTTTAAGGAGTTGCCAGTTTAAGATAATGGGTTTTAGGGAAGTTAGAGGTTGAAGATTATTGCTGGGATTAGGGTGTTCCTGCTGCTTGTTCCCGTTGAGTTCTCGTGAGATTAAAATGAGATTTGGAGATAGCCTCGTGGAGTAGGTGAATTGTGCGGGAGACGGCAGAACGCGATTGCCCCTGGACCTGTGTGGAGGCGGTGTGAGAGCGGGAATAAAGAATTGCTGTTTGAACCTACAAAGGTGTGTGGTGGCTCGTGATTCTGGTGCCAAGCCGAGACCTTGGCTTTGGCAGGTAACTCCTGCTCTCCACAAGAAGAGAGATGATTCGGTGGAAAGCAGCTAAAGTGATGATTAAGATGTTACAAGTAGATTTTTGCTTCATTAAGTGATTCACCACCGATTTATTTTAAATATAAACCCAGTTTGTGTATTAGAGTATTTAGTTTGATGTTTAAATTACATTTATTAAAAATTTTCAATTAATTTGCATCCAGTTTGCATAGGCCAGGATGTTTGCCTATAAGCATAAAAAGTAATTTATTGCCTCATGTAACTGAGAAGTCTAAGGAGTAAAACAGGCTTTGAATACGTTCTCTCTCCTTCTCCTCTCCTTTTCTCTCTCCATATCTTAGTTCTGCTTAACTAAGCTGTCTGATGGCCTCTCCCCATTAAGTAGCAAGGTACCCCTGGAGGCTCCAGTGTACATGGTCTGTAGAATAGTTCTAAGAAATGATCTTTCCCAACAACATTGGTCAAAGTCTCTGCAGGGAGGAACCATCTACCTGGCTTCTGTTGTGGGCCCTCTCTGAACATCCTCCCTGCCTCTGGGTGCTCGGAGCATTCTGATTGACTGGCCTAGGTCGTGTGCCACTCCTCTGGTGAGCGCCTAGCCCATCGGCACTATTACAGACACTGAGCAGGGTTACTAAGGAATGAAAGAGCCATCCTTCTTCAAAGGAAGAAATGCTGGGCATACAAAAATCATGTTCACTATAAATGTAACAGAAATCGGTGGCCTGGAACAAGAGACATCTGTAAAAGAATGGATAATTCCTATTAGGAAAGGTAACAGACTTATTTGTCCAGGAAAAAAAAAAACAAGAAGACTATGAATAGGAAAAATTTAAAACTTGTTTTAAGTGCAGGTGCTTCTGCTATAATGTATACAAATACGTAACAGTAAATACCACCATTTTGTACAACTATAATGTACCAATAAAAAATATGGAAAAAGAAAAAGAGCAGAGATTGTAGAAAAATTAAGATTGGAGGAAGAACTCTCAAAATCCATGTTATCTCTAACTAGAATTCTATCAATGACCATTCAGTAACAATAATGACATAGTAGGCATGTTAGGTTCCTGAAACATAAGGAAATACCATATAAAACATCAAATATTTTTTCCAAAATAAGAATATCATGATAGAAGAGGATATAAGGAAGGTTGAGGATGCTAAATTATGGAGATATGAACAGCCACACAAAGCTGGGAAGAATGGCATAATTAGCATTTATATATATATTTTAAAGTTTTCGATGGATCTTTATTTTATTTACTTTTATGTGATGCTGAGAAACCCAGTGCCTTATACATGCTAGGCAAGTGCTTTACCACTGAGCTACAACCCCAGCCTCTGTAATCAGCGTTTCTAAGAGCAAACACATGGCTACCTTGGACCATAGAAGGGAATGTGGGGAGGGGGGAAGGTGCTTAGGTCTGTGCTTCTCCTCAGCTTTCTGCACTCAGCTGCTTTTATCTGGTGTTGCAAAACTTTAGCTTATTAGGGAAAAAAATCCTATATGAACAAATGAGAATGGAAATTATATAACATAATTTCCCTGTTAGCCAATTGCAGGTGAGCTAATTATTGCTAAGAAATATAGGTACAAGAGGGCTTACTTTTATTATTTAATGTTATACAGAAGTACCAATAAATTGTAATTCAGTATTCAAGAGACTCAAGAAAGAAGAAACAATTTTCAGTTACATTGAAATATATTTGATTGTGTGAAAGAACATTTTGTCAAGAAGGTAATTAAATGGATAGAGATCCTGGGAAAAAAAGAACAAAGATGACTTCTTAAGATCCCTTCTGTAACAATTCCGGTGTCACTGAAATTGCAGAATGTTCCAAGACATGCAGTTATCTGAGTGACGGCTCATAACCGGTATGACTGATGTCCTCATGAAATTGATTGAATGTTTTGCTGTCATAGTTTGGAAATCAAACAAAAACATGATTTGATACAAGCTGGAGGCTGTAGAGTGCATTCACTGACAAGCAGTAACACTAATAATCATTGTGTACAGAGGAGGAAGCAATGATTTGGTTGGAATGGCAGCAAATCAAGATGGATGGCTGCCTCCTGGGAGTCCTGACAGAGTAGTCTTACCTTAGTGAGTAAACCAGGGCCCAGGACCTGGCCTCAGCTCAGTGGGCTCAGGAAGACTGACCTGTGCCAATCATACATGACAAGCCTAAAAAGCAATTCATTAATTTACCAGGGTGAATATTTTTTTGTAGACAGGAACTCTTAATCATCTCCATCTAAGGCACCTCCTCCCAAAGAACAAACTAGATCAGTTATTGAAAGACTGATAAATGGACATCTCCAACCACAAAGATAATCAAAACAAAGACAAGGAGGCAGTATTGAGAGAGAGGTTCTCATAGTGGTGAAGACTCACAGGCTGTCCATTGCCCACAGGAACCAGTATGTCTATGTCAGTTCTAGTTCTGGGTTCAGCCCCTGTCCTCTATGGACCGTGTGCATTCACCATTACAACCTGCCTCATCTACTATCCAGACTGACCAGTCACCTTCTATATATAATGCCCTTTCTCCAGATAAGATTAAATATGTGGTATTTGTTTTCTTACTAAAATATAATTATATCCCATCCCTACTGAGATAGGGATTTTGGATAAAGGGGGAGATATACTGAGTCTCACAGGAAATGCCCATGAGCCACTAAGATGCACAAATCTCTCAAAATCAATTGCATCTCCTGAGCGGCATGCCCTTGACCCGTGCCCTTGAACATGCTCTTGTAAAATTAGAGCAGTGTTCAAATGTAGGAAAGACTGGAGGAAAATTACACAACTCTGCCCTGGCACCAGCCCTCTATAAATACTAACACCCTACACCAACAGATTGCCGTCTCTCCCTCTGGAGATGGCCCGCATCCCCTTTCAAAGTATATTCCTTGCTTTAGCCCCATTCTCCCTGAATATGTATCTACTTTCCTAAATGAAGCTCTGTCTATGCCATCAACTGGCACATGCTGAAATTCTTTTCCAACACCCCTCTGGTGCTGAGTCAAGTCTTCTCTGAGAACTCCTGGGACCCTTCTTTGGAGATGTGTCTTCTCCCATGACACCACCTCTGAATGATGAACCCCCAAGTCACATTGCACAGTGTTTTGTATCACAAAAAAACAATAATTTTTAGTTTGGCCCTTGATTTTCAGAAATAGAAACCCAGTTGAGCTTAGATTTAGGATGCTTGTATAGTGATGCTGAAAAATCTCATCAGGACACTATATTAAAAGCTAGCCCCTTCAAACTGAATGGGAGCCAGAGCTAGGACCTGGGAGTCATCAGGAACCACAGTGCCCCAGAGCGTGTGTCTTCATGCCCCCTTGGAGCCTCTCACTACCGTGTTTGTCTGTCCTCACAACCTGCCAGTCCTGCTGACCATAGCTGCTGCCTTCTCATGACTGGTCTCCCTTGGCCCCAACTGTACCTGAAAGTATCCTTTATCTTTCAGTCCCCAAGGCAAATAAGCTAATTATTTGCTTGGTTTTTTAACTAAAGTATAAAAAAGAGAAACCTACTGACCCAATTGATGTTTTCTAGTCCTTCAGGATAGAAGCTACTGGCAGGCTTAAGAATGTTCTGTCTTGGGTCAGAAACCACCCCCTAGTCCAGGCACTATGGCCAGAGAGGAAAAATGGTATCATATGTCAGAAAGTAGCCCACCGAGGCAAAAAAGTGTGTGACAAGAGGTTTCTCTTTTTTCAAAAAAAGAATGGGTAGTCCAGGCACAATGCTGGATATCTGGCACCCTCTTGGGTGACACTAATTCCTTAATTTCCACATTCTCAAAGAAGCACCTTACTGGAGTATAGGAATGAATGATTTATGTATGTTTGTCTTGTATCCTGCTACTTTGCTGAATTTGTGTATCAGCTCTAGAAGACATCTAAATATAGAATCATACAATCAGCAAACAAAGATAATTTGACTTCTTTTCCTATTCATGTCCCTTTAACTTCCTTCTCTTATCTGATTGCTCCAACAAGAGTTTCAAGAACTATGTTAAATAGGAGTGGTGACTGGACATCCTTGTCTTGTTCCTGATTTTAGAGGGAATGTTTTCAGTTTTTCTTCCTTCAGTATGACACTGGTCTTGGGTTTGTCATATATAGTCTTTAAAATGTTGAAGTAAGTTCCTTCTATTCTAGTCATACTTTTAATATAAATGGGTGGTGGAATATTTATGTAGTGAATTTCATTTATTGATTTGCAAATATTGAACCAACCTGGCATCCCTCAGATGAGACCCACTTGATCATGGTGTACTATCTTTTGAATGTGTTTTTTTTAATACAGTTTGCCAATATTTCATTAAGAATTTTTGCATCTACATTCACCAGGGATGTGGGTCTGCCGTTTTCTTTCTTAATGTATCTTTGGATTTGGTAACAAGGTAGTACTGGCTTCATAGGATGAATTTGACAGTGTTCTCTCCCTTTTTATTTCCTGGAATAATTTGAAGAGGGTTGGCATTAGTTCTTCTTTAAAGGTCTGGTAGAATTCAGCCAAGCATTTTTTTGGTCCTGGGCTTTTCTTTGTTAGAAGACTTTTTATCACTGCTTCCATCTCATTGCTGGATTTTGGCCTGTTTAAGTTTTTTATATCCTCATGGTTTCCTCTGGGTAGATCGATCACTTCCCTGTATGCCAACAATGAATCTGCTGAGAAGGAAATCAGGAAACCTATCCCATTCACAGTGACTGCAAAAAAAAAAAAAAGAAAAACCTTGGGAATAGATCTAACAAGGAGGTAAAAGATAACAGAAACTCTAGAACCCTGAAGAAAGAAATTGAAGAAGACCTTAGAAAAGCAAAGACCTCCCATAGCCTTGGATAGGCAGAATTCATATTGTCAAAATGGCCATCCTACCAAAAGCAGTAAACAGAGTCAATAAATCCCCATCAAAATACCAATGACATTCTTCACGGAACTAGAGAAAAACAGTTCTAAAATTCATTTGGAAGAATAAATGACCCAGAACAGCCCAAGTCATCCTGAGCAAGAAGAGTGATGCTGTGGGCATCACAAGACTGGGTCTCAAATAATACCACAGAGCTCTAGTAACAAGAACAGCATGGTGTCTTGTTTATTGTTGTCTTAGCATGATCCCTGCCCTAGGTATGCCTTGTCCAGTCACCTGCCATCTGCCACTGTGGACCCCTGGGCTCCTGTGATGCTGAATGCTCTTAACTGTCCATGCCCCACCTGACAAAGAACAAGGACTTTAAGTCACTTCCCCAAACTTCGCCCTCTTTCAGCAGGAAGCAGCTTGGAAATGTCATCTCCCATTTGTCCATAAAAATGGAGCATAGAGATTGACAGGGAGGAAATGTGACAGAGCTCCACCTGATGCTGCTCTGCCACTGCAACTTATTTTTCACACTTTACATTTTTATTGATTCTTTTTAGTTACACATGACAGTAGAATCCATTTTGATATAATTACACAAGCATGGAATGTCTTATCATAATTAGAACCTCATCCTTGTGGCTGTACATGATGATGAGATTCACTGTGGTGTATTCATATAAGTACACAGAAAGTTATGTCAAATCATCCACCGTCTTTCCTTTTCCTGTCTCCCTCCCTTCCCTTCAATCCCCTTTTACTGTACTTTTATTCTTCCCCTCCCCCCTATTGTGGATTAGCTTCCACATATCAGAGAAAACATTTGACCTTTGGTTTTTGGGGATCGGCTTTTTCAGTTAGCATGATATTCTTCAGATCCATCCATTTACTGGCAAATGTCATAAAATCATTTTTCATAGTGGCTGAGTAATACTCCACTGGTGTGTATACACCACACTTTCTTTATTCATCTGTTGAAGGGCACCTAGGTTGGCTCCATTGC